TGGTTGCTAGGATGTAGGGGTAGGAATAGGGGTGGGAGGGGAAGGTGGTGCACAGGGCAGGGAATAGACACAGGATAATTTGGGTATTGGGTAGGGGGCAACATACAAGTATGGAGAGGGGAATCGAAGAACAAAGCAGATGGGAGAACAAATTAGACAGGTATGAATGGGCTAAATGGGACAGAGGTAAAAAATGATGTAGGCACAGCTTTAGAAGAACAGGGCTCTGGAATACAGAGACTAAGACATGGATGGACTAGAGAAAAGGGGGGAATAATGTTAAGATGCTTGGCTGTCTTTTGAACCTTGGTTATCTGTTCATTGTATTATAAAACAGACACTGGCGGGGGAGAGAAAGGAATAGCCAGAAATATCACCATAGAAAGCTTATAAATCCATCTTCTGCCTATAACTGATTGGAATACCTAAAATGGGGCTACAATGTGTCCAGTGAAGGAGGTTTCCTGAGGAGCCTCTGCATTACATGGGAGTATAGGTGGCAGCCCGAACCACGTCCAGACCGTCAGAGACGGGAAATTTTCCACTTGAAAGGGTAAGCAGACTAGCCGGAAGCAGCTAGAAAACCAGAAGATACTTCTTGAAAGAAACACTTACAGGAAAAATACAAAACAATAAGGGCAGTCCGACTGTTACCACAAGAACATGTAGGTTGCTTGCCCAGGAGACATCAAGGCAAGTGGTCAGGTCCTCTCAGTGCAAACTCTCTTCCAAGACTAAGATGCAAGGGAAATACACGCTTTGATTGGCGACCACGCATGTCACCCATAAGGGGAAGTGACCGAAGAATATCAATGAAGTGGCGAGCTAAGCCCTACATCGTTCAGCAGACTACTGTGAATCTGGGGGGAGATCTGGTGGGCCAGCAGCGAGGCAACACCTGGGGACTCATGGGCTCAGAGTCAATGACACAGCCACAGAGGATTAGAGTGGAGAGCAGGGCGGCCAGCCGATAAGAAGAGGGTGGACAGACGCAAGAACACCCACACTTGCAGATGATACCCACTTAACCAGGCTTCAATGACTGAATGAACAGAGGTCAACCCGAAGAAGAA